GGTTGGTACATGAAAAGCACATACCTTGCTTCATACCAATTCATGATGCAGCCTATCAGAAGTAGTAAATTCTGGGAGCCAACGAATCATGAAACTCCTATACCTTTGCCACTAAAGAAGCAAATAGGAAGGCCTAGCAGGAAACGAAAGATGCAGGAAAGGGAGATCTCAAGTCAGAGGATAACCAGGACGAGAGCAAAGATGAGGTGCTCCTATTGCTACAATGAAGGGCACAATAAAAAAGGATGTGCGTTGAAGAAGCAACATTAGGAACAACAGGCTGCATCGGCTGATGTAGGGCCAATAAAAAGGACTCCTGTAAGGCCAGCTGAAGGGGCAACAGAAGGGCCTCATGTACGATCAAGTGCAGGGCCAGCTAAAGGGCCAACTGAAGGCCCTATTGTGGGGTTAGGTGCAGGGACTACTCCAAGCAGGATAGCAGCCACAACCACTGAATCGACTGTTGAACAAACAAGAAAAAATTATCCTGTAAGTTATACATGGTTGTGCTTTTTTGTGTTATTTATGGTCTCAAATTTAATTCTTTTTATGTCTTTCTTAGGTAAGAAGACGACGAACTGCACAGGTTGCAGAGGTTACACAGGTTGCACAAGTTGCTCCCATAAAAGTTGCTGAAACTGAGGCACCGCAGCGAACAAGAGGAGTTCTTGGGAAAAGGATAAAGCAATATGGTTATGGCCTTTATACAGACGAACGTACTGGAATGACTATTTTGAATGTAAGTTTTGTAGGATTTGTTCATTTAATTTATATTGTGGTATTCATATTTAATATATTGGTGATTATATGGTTATTTTGTTGTAGCCTGGGAGAAGTTCGGAGGTGCTTATCTCTCAAGGTGGCCGAACTAAAGAGTCAAGGGCTGTGCCAAAGCCAAAGAAGAGTGCTCCAAAGAAGAAGACATCGGTTACAGCTCCAAAATAGTCACCAACAAAGAACCAAGTACCGGTTCTGTCTAAACCGATTGAACCTGGTACCAACAGTGACCCTACGGATAGCTCCCATCACATGACACGTGGTAGAAAGAAAATGGCTGCCGTTAAGAAGAAGGTATATGTGATAGGAAGGTCGGTTAAAGAACCTGTACGTCCAGCTAGAAAGAGTGCAAGGATTATGAATCAAGTTAAAAGTGTAAAAGGAAAGGAACTGGGGCTGTTGTCCAAATTAACTGATGGAAGTTGCTGCCATTATTTTTTTTGCGGGTTGCTGCCATTGTTTTTGTTTGGGTTGTTTTCATATGTTAGGTGTAAAGAATCAGTTCAATGTTAATGGTAACAATGTTTTTGTCAGTTCTCATTTTTTGTCTTGGTTTTGGCTGGTATGCGAATGGTTGTTATGTTGTGCTGCTGGTGCAAGGTTGTGATGAGACTGATATTGTTTTGTTGCCGGTGGAAGTTGTATGTGCTGGTGCATTTGTGGATGCTAGCAATTGTGTGTACTAGTACAAGTATAAGATGCAGCTGGTGCAGTTAAGGGTGTTGGTGCATCTTGGCACCAGCAAGCGTAAGACTGCACCAGCAGCTTGGTGGTGCTGGTGGCTGAGTGATGCTAGTGCTGGTAGTGCTGGTGGCTAAGAGTGGTGATGGTGGTCAAGAGTGGCGCTGGTGGTTTTGGTGGCCGAGTATGGTGCTGGTGGTGTTGGTGCTGGTGCTAGTGGCCGAGAGTAGTGCTGGTGGTCAAGAGTGGCGTTGGTGGTTTTGCTGGTCGAGTGTGGCGCTGGTGGTGTTGGTGTTAGTGGTGTTAGTTATTCTCGTGGTCGAGTGTGCTGGTGCAAGCACATCATGTTCTTTCTTTTTTTTTTTTTGTTGCTAAAACATGTTCTTGCACCAGCAAATACTGGTGCGCACCAGCACAAGATGCACCAGTTCCTTGCATTGTCCAATGTTTGCATATATATGTGTCTAATGGCTTGCATTGTGCTAGTGCACGGGGGACAAGCTCGAGGATCGTGGACGAGAGTAGCCAAGTGCATTGATAGCCGAGCATAATGTATTTAGTATGTTGTGGTGCATTACAAGTAGAAAAAAAAAGTGAAACCAACTAAACCATTTTTTTAAAGTTGTGCAGTACAAGTGATCACTTTTGAGCCATGATTGACACTTAAGTGATCACTTTCAGAAAAAATTAGCACTCATACGATCACTAGTTACAACTTATGGCATTGAAATGATTACTCAACAACTTGTTCACTCCTTATTTCGACCAGTGTTTGCAATAAATATTGCAGCAGACCAACAAAACTTTACCAGTAAGCCACTGCAGCAAACCAAGATTAACAATACACAACTAATCAAGGAAACTTGTAAGTGCTCACAACTGATGAATTCCAACCTTCCATTTCCACCATAGATTGCATACAAACAAAAATTGCAACAAACTTACAACCAAAATATACGGACAAATTACACAATACAAGTACATAATCCACTGATCTTCACAATTATGGTAGACTGAGATATTTCTTCTCAACACTCACTTTACATTTGAGCATAAAATAAGACCAAACAAGACAACAACAATATAATCAACACTCGATAACACTTTCTTTCTCTTTTCATCCTTGAAACTTCCTTCTTCAAATGGTTGACCAGAGATGCTAAACCCTTCATTTCTGCTTGCATAGAGTCCATATCATCTAACTCGTCCGTTAATGTAAGTGGAGGTTGATGCCATCTTTCAAGTAGCTCCAAGATCACCTCTGTCGCTCGATCGGAGAATTTTGCATCGACCCATTTGAAATATTTGCACTTTGAACCTTCTCTATACTTGGCGCATCCATGAAATCTTCTCCCGAGACTTAAACGAGTCCAAGATATTCTTCTTGGACTCGGTAATCCATAATAACAATTACACTCACCTCCTTCTTCGCTTCGTTGAAAGGAAGTTGAGTCGCTGCTGAAGCTCTTACCTTCCATTTGAAAGCTTGAACACTTAATTTGGGGGGCAAACCGAAATAGGAAGAATTGCCGCCGGTTATGGTTTTCAATTTGGCCTTCTCTTTTAATTTGGGGATTTAGGATTCTTATTTGGGGGGAAATAAGCTAAACTACGTCGTTTTGAAGTGTACATGCTGACTCTATATGCTGATTAGACCTCCGGCGAGCCATATCAGCTTCAGAAATTAATAAAAAAAATGCCACGTCGGATTTCCGGCGGAGTTGACACTTAAGTAATCGTTTTTAAAAAAGTTTGGCACTTAAGTGATTGTTTCGAAATTTTTGGCACTAAAGTGAGTGCCGTACACAAGTTTTGGCATTTGTAGTGTCTTTGTTCCCAATTTTTGATATTGTTTTTCGATTAATTGATAGGTATTTGAGTGATTGGCTCGTTTAACCATCGACAGTTGGTTTTTGGCTTTCCCAAATGAGTAGTACTATTTCTTCCATGAATTTACAAACTCATGTTATGAAAATGGTAGAGTTTTGATACAGTATGAGTTATTAAGAACATGTTTCTTACATAAATTAGATCAAACTTTTACTACATTTTTAGTCGATTGAAAAGGGATTGGGAATGTTTTATGAAGTGGTCTAAAATGACCAATTGGGAATGCTTTGGTTAAATGTTTTGTGAAAGGAATTGCCAAAAGCTGTACATATTGATTATGAAATGTTTTATGAAATCAATTCTAATTAATAAACGGAATTGTGAAAGATCATGTGATTCGGTTTATAAAATCGGTTTATAAAATGACTTTTTGGTGTTGATTGTGCGTTGTTGGAAAAAGATATTGGTTGATATTGCTCATATCGTTACGATGAGAACCCATTGAAGGGGGAGTATGCATAATGTCAGGACGTCTTTTTGGGCTGAACCACTGGCTGATGCAAGTGATAGACTTAACCAAGGGGGATAAACTTAGTCGCCTTTGTCATGGCGTTAAACGTGACCATAGTTTGATGATGAACATTAGATTAGTTGATGGAATGGATCATCGACGTGTGATTTGATGAGATTAGTCAATGGATTAGACCATTGATAATTGTTTGTCATTATTGTATAAGTTTTGATGACCGATCTTGTACGTATAGAGTTTTGTTGAAAAGTTATCATACATTTTCGATATTTGTATATTGAATTTGAGATGATGAGATTGATATCATTTTATAATGATGCGTACTTATTGTTCAATCCGCTTGGAAAAAATGTATTACTCATTGGGCCGTGGTAACTCATTCCTTTCATCCTTCGTGTTTTTCAGGTTCCTCGGTGAGTGGCCAATAGTTTGAGAGCGCTTTTGATGGGGACTTTTGGGAGTTAATTTTTTTTTTGTATGGTTTGAGTTTACGTCCTTTGAGAGGAAGGACGACCGAAAGACCTCGTTCAGGGTAGAGGCACAGCCGCACTGCCATCCCTTGCAAGGTTTTGTCCCTGGTACAGCGGAAGCTACTATCCTACAGGAATACGGGTAGTGACAGAGATTACATTAGCCTATATAAGATAACTTATCTATCAAAATACGCACAATCAAAAAGAGATATTCGCACAATCTTAAGAAATAAAGAAAACCATCATAATTATCTTAAATATCTCTAACAACTTATTAAAGGTCTAATTTTGTTTCATCGATCCAAAAAACTAAAGGTGGCAAAATAGGTCATGGACCCATATATCAACTCACATTTAGTGGATTGGGTGATATATGAATTGTCTGAGATTTAGAACATATGTTTGGAATTGGTCCAAAATTGATGGATTCCGGTGGGTCTGCAAAAAACCCCTTTCAACCCATTTAATCAAAGAGCAATGTTACGATCACGGTCCCGCGAGCCACGAAGCGGCAGATGGACAACTGTGGACCAATAGTCCTCGCAAATCCAATTCAAATCCTTTTCTTTTACTAATCCATAATATGATAAAAATAAATAAAATTATATTTTGAAAGTGGTTGGAATATGACGTCAAAATATCACCTACAACTACTAACTTGGATGTACTCTATACCATGATAATTGTTCTTTTGGGTCTCCTAAACTGCACCTCCATTGACCAGGAAAATTAAAGATTAGAAAAAGCAGCAGAAAAAACAAAAAGGAAGGAGAAACGGAGACGGAAACCAAGCCCCGTCGTCATTGAGCCTGTTCACAAAACTTCCTCCCCTTCTGAAATTCCCCCTCCACCGCGCGACGAGATGGTGAAGATCAAGATCCTCCACCGTTATGATGTCTCGCCGCCGGCGAACTCAGTCTCGGCAACCGCTCTCCCGCTCACCTTCTTCGACATCCCATGGCTTCTCTGCCCCCCCATGCAACGCCTCTTCTTCTACGACTCCCCTCAATCCCTTCCCTCCTTTGTCCAGACTACCCTCCCGCTCCTCGTCCGCTCACTCTCCCTCGCTCTCCGCTGCTTCTTCCCCTTCGCCGCCAGCCTCGTCCTCCCTCTGGTACCGCCCCAGAAGCCCTACATCCTCTACTGCAACGGCGACTCCCTCTCGTTGACTGTCGCTGAGTCGCCCGCCGACTTCGCCGAGCTTGTCAGCGACAAGGGTCGCCACGCGATGCTGATACACCCTCTGGTGCCTCAGCTCCCGCTGCCACACACGTCCGATGGCGCACGTATGTGGCCCCTTATGGCGATTCAGGTCAGTTGGTGATGGTCTATCTGGTGAAGCTATGAATTCTACATAATCATGTTATGCTGTGCTATAACTGGAGCTCATTGGGCAACGACATATGCTATGCAATTGGCAGTTAGAAAAGAAAGATGCAACGTGTGCGAGAAAGTTATATCACACTGAGATAATGATGAGATAGATATTGGATATAGCATAATTTGAGTTTATAGAACATGTACTTAGATAAAAATAAAATAGAAAATGAGTAATTATGTGAAGGGAGTCCGAGATATAAAATAGGATCTCGTTTTTTAGATTGAATAGATATCATGAGAAAAGTTGATTATGAAATCATTTTGATGGGCGTAAATTAACATTAAAATGATAATGATTTAGGTGACCCTGTTCCCAAATGAGGGCATTTGCGTTGGGGTCCAGTTCCTCCATGTGGCGGCAGATGGGAGGTCCTTCAATCACTTCATGAAATCGTGGGCGTCCATTCATAGGTCCAGCGGAGCCCCGGCTTGCGTTGACCCGGGCGACCCGAGCCCTTTCTACGACCGAGAAGGGGTGAAAGACCTGAATGGGCTCGAGCCCATATTGTTGAAAGACTGGTGGAGTTGTGTGGGCTCTAGCCCAAGCCCGATCTCAATCGAACCTCTTCTCGCCGTTGCGGACAAGGTGAGAGCAACATTTGTCCTGGGAAAAGCTCACATCGACGGGCTAAAAGCGCAGGTCTTGAGCCAACTCAAGAACGACCATGTCGACTCGGAGTCGGATACAATCCACTTGTCGACATTCGTGGTGACGTGTGCATTCGTATGGGTGTGCATGATCGAATCGAAACAAATAGAACACCAGCGCCGTGACCAATCGTCATCACAGAGCGGCATCGACGAGCTTTGCTCTTTTTGCTTTGTAGCAGATTGTAGGGGCCGACTCAAATACTCGATGCCCTCGACGTACGTTGGGAACTACCTGGGCATATATTTTCTCTCGGAGAGGAAAAGGACGCTCTTGGGCAAAAGTGGAATTTCACATGCCGTGAGGGCTATAGGGAGGAAAGTCAAGGAAGTGGAGAGAGGCGGAGGATTGAGAGGGGCAGAGGGATGGATCAGGGACTGGAAAGTATTTGACAATGGAGAATTGGTGACGGTGGCCGGATCGCCGAGACTGAAGGTGTATGACACGGACTTCGGGTGGGGGAAGCCGACGAAGAGCCACGTTGTGCAGATCGACATATCGGGGGCGATTGCTCTCGCAGAGAGTAGGAACGGGGATGGTGGTGTGGAGGTCGGGTTGGCATTGACTAGGGTTTGCATGGAGAAGTTTGTTTGTTTGTTTGAGAAGGGATCAAAATCGTTTATGTCACTTTAGTGTACATGTCGTCCATATAATCCATGTCTGATTTCAATTTGGTCCTTATGTTTTGGATGTAACAACATTGGTCCATGTACCTTAGTTTATTGACAAATGTAAGGACTTCCAACCAAGTTTAGAGCCAATTTTTAATTACGTCTAGAATTCATCAATGGGCCAAAATGAAATAAATACTTGTTCGAGTGTTGCACATATTTTGCCGACAAAGAGTAAAAAATGAGTAAGGATGTTGACCTCATTTCCACAAATCCATGGTTTGTGTCGTATACAAATTCCTCGTTACGAAGCAAAAGAAAGATTATTAACTCCTACGAAGAACTCAAAGCATTATAAATTCCACAAAAAGAAAAAAAATCTTTCCAACTTGCCGTAATCGTTTTATTTTATTTTATTTTATTTTGGTAACCCAGGGAACCCCCACACGGCCGACAGCCGGGGAGTAAACCCTGGGGGCGACACGTGCTAGCCACCACACACGTGCCACCGGTTAAGTCACCCTGCGGCGCCCGGGATTCGAACGCTCAACCTTTTGCGAGAGGAAGAGTGCGCGCTCCAGCAGCGCCACCCAGGCGGGTGGTCCCGTAATCGTTTTATAATATGAGATAAAATCACAGTTCATCGAATACCGCCGATAATGGCCCGAGCATGTATGGAGTTTAATAATATAAATTAAATAACTGTAATAGGATAGTTTTTGGAAATAACTAATCAATTCCTATTTTTTGACGAGAACTGAAAAATGAATAATCTCAATTTAAAACAAATTGGATTTTGAAGTCAAGTGATTGCAACAAGCGGAATCAAATAACCATGAATCAAAAGTACCTGGAATGACAGACAGAATAGAAATGTTAGCATGACAAAGGAGTTAGAAGTATCAAATTCTCAAAAAATAGAACGAAAATTCTCAAAAGTAACGGAAGAGCTGTTGGGGAAATCCTCAATGGTAGTAGCAGTGATGGATCCGAGTGCAAGTGGACCTCCATATCGGGATCAGTTATTCGTCCCATGGGCTGCTTAGGTTGTAGTCAATAGCAATTGGATGCAAGATGACTATGTTGGTGACGTATAATAGCATTTGCATGATGAGGAAGAAGCGGAAGCGACAAGCGCCACATTTGTAGAAGTGGACAAAGTAGTGCGTTGCGCCTTCAAAATAGTGACTCAAGTCTCCTCAGTCAACAACTCTGAGATAATTGCCTCGAGATGAGGTAGCGAATCTCAATGTAGAAGTGAAGATAGAACATATTCAAACTCATCATTAAGTGTCATTAGAAATTGCCTAATATGTATACGTTCACGATATTCAACAAATTTGTGAGCATCGTAATTCGCTTCCTATTGTGGCTGACGTCAGGCTAGTAGATCATAGATAGCATGAGTGGAGGATAAAAAATCATTAACAAACTAACATGTCTTCTAATGCATGTGATGTAGATTTCCTAACAATTGATACCGATGGGTAATGTCTCAGGTGTAGTATCGGTTGACAAGGAGATCCCAAACTTCCTTTGCTATATTGAGGTGACCAAACTAAAGTTTGATAGATGTAATCGAAGTGTCTTGAAACTACATTAGGATTTGATGATTCTTGTTATCTCACCTCTCCAAACTTTCAACAGATTTGTCCACAGTTTCATCAGTAGTCTTAGTAGGTGCACAGATATCACCAGTGACATAACGTCAACGCTTGCGTCCTCTAAAAAAACTTGATATTTGTTAACCCATAAAATAGAATTTGTACCATTCAAATGGTCTCAATGGGTAGTGTAGCTTCAATTTATCCATAATATTCACTTAATCGAAGTATACAGTAGAATGGATAAATTGGAGGATAGATAGGGTGAAAATAAGGTAAAAAACAAACTCAGAACGTCGAAAAAACTTGGGGAAGTATGAAGTCTTTAAGAATTGGTCGATAAATCAAACAAAGTGGACGGAAATACAAGAGGACAGGTTTGGTATGATATCTAGAACCAAGTTTAGTCGGCTCAATTGAGCTAGTCGGTCTGCAGAGGAAAAACCAACTAACTGTGCAAGCTAACTGGCTCGACTAACGTGGTGAGGACGAGTCATGTTGACGTGGCATATGATTTGTTAGCGTCACATATGTGTGAGAATGAGCTGTAAAATATATTTATGATTGTAATTAGCTAGAATCTAGGATTATAGTTAGCTAGTTTAGAGGATATATTTTTTAAGATTCTTTCTTTCTTTGTATATATATACGCCTCTAGGTCATTGTAAAAGAATGAAGAAGAAATACAGAAAAGTGAGGAATGTGGTTTTCTTCCTCGAAATATCCTTTGTGTTAATATGGTATCAGAGTCAAGGGTTTGCTCTTTGTGAGTACTGTACGTGAATCCTCGATTACGGCGTTCGGCGTGCGTGCTACTCGATCTTCTTCTTCTTTGTCACGATCGATTTTGGATCCATGGAGGATCAGAACCCTACCGGAGCGATGATTCCCCATCAAAACCAAGGGGGGAATTCGACCACGGAAGCTCTTTTGGAGAATCTGATTGCCAGATTAACTCAGATTCTCACTCAGAACCAGACGCACCCTCCTCCTCCATCACCAACACCGCAGAATGATTTGGCTTCATCTCAGATTGCAATTAAATTGGATGGAGCCAACTATGGATTATGGTCTCAGGTTGTCGAGATGTATATCACTGGTAAAGATAAACTGTGATATATCAATGGAGACCTTCCTCAGCCACTGCCTACAGATCCTGGCTTTCGGAGGTTGAAAACAGAAGACTCGACTGTGAAAGGATGGCTTATCAACTCCATGGATTCGGCGTTGATCGGCAATTTCATTCGCTTCCCAACAGCGAAATCTGTCTGGGATGCAATTGCAACGACTTTCTTTGACGGAACGGATGCCTCTCAGGTTTATGACTTGAAGAGGCGTGTTGCTCGGATGCGACAAGGAGGAGGACCAATTGAGGCGTACTACAACAATCTTCAAGGCTTGTGGAGAGAAATCGATTTTCGCCGTCCGAACCCAATGCGGTATCCTGAAGATATTGAAAGATACAATATGGCTATACAAGAAGATCGGGTATACATATTTCTTGATGGGTTGGACGACCGTCTTGACAAGGTCAGAGCAGATGTTTTGCAGATGCAGCCGTTTCCTACTCTTGAAGAAGCCTATGCGCGTGTCCGTCGAGAAGACATGAGACAAACTGTAATGCTGACCAACAGTGACACAGTACATGATTCGGCAACCATGGCATCTCGGGGGAATAAGACGAATGTCAAAGCAAATCAAGAACCGCTGTTGCAAATAGCGAAGCCAGGAGTTACGCAGGAAGGGGGAAAGCCTAGCTCGGCAATACGCCAGAAAATTTCTCCGAGGGGAGGTTGCTCGAATTGTGGTAATTCTAAGCATACCAGGGAGACGTGCTTTAAGCTTCATGGGTATCCAGATTGGTGGAAAGAGTTGAAAGCTCGAAAGCAAGCAGAAGGAAAAGGGAAAGCTTCTTTAGCGACTGTTGAGCCTCAGCTGTCACTGATACCTCACGTTGATCCTCAGAATTTGATGTCAGGAGGTAACCATGGAAGTGCTTTGGTTAGTTCTAATCAGATTGATTGCAATCACTGGGTTATTGATTCGGGAGCTACTGATCACATGACATTTACTCCTGATGACTTTGTTCATACTTCAGAACCAAGACGTGAGAGTATCTCAAATGCTAATGGATACACCTATCCTGTGACTAGGGCTGGAGTTGTTGCAATTTCTCCTATTTTTTCTCTTCCTAACACCTTGCTTGTCCCTTCATTATCGACCAAATTGATTTCAGTAGGACAAGTTACTGAAGATTTGAATTGTGCTGTTATAATGTATCCCCACTTTTGTTTTGTTTCAGGATATTCTCACGAAGGAGATAATTGGGCGTGGTACTAAGAGAGGGGGGCTGTATTATATGGATGACTTCAGTTCCGGGAGTGCAAATCATGCTAGCGGTACATCCATCAGTAGAGAAAAACAGATTTGGCTTTGGCATCGACGGTTGGGACATCCGTCATTTGGTTATTTGAAGCGATTATTTCCTGAATTGTTTTTGAATTTGAAGGATTTAGATTTGCAATGTCAGACTTGTATATTGGCTAAGAGCCATAGAGTTCCTTTTCCTATAAGTTTGAATAAAAGTAAAGCTCCTTTCTCTTTGATACATTCAGATGTTTGGGGTCCATCTCCTATTACTGCTGTTTCGGTTTGTAGGTGGTTTGTGATATTTGTTGATGACTGTACTAGAATGACATGGCTTTTCTTGATGAAAAGTAAGAATGAGGTAGCCAAGATATTTAGAAATTTTAAATATTATGTTACAGACTCAATTTAGTGGACAGATCAAAGTTCTAAGAAGTGATAATGGTGGAGAGTACATGAATGAATACCTTAAGGAGTATTTTCAACAACATGGCATGATCCATGAGTCATCCTGCTCTCAAACACCTCAGCAGAATGGTGTGGCAGAGAGAAAGAATAGACATATCCTTGAGACAGCTCAAGCTCTGTTGATTGAAAGTCATGTGCCTCAGAGATTTTGGGACAATAGTGTGACCGCAGCTATCCATCTCCTCAATCGGATGCCGTCTAAAGTGTTAAACTTTCAGACACCACTACAGACTTTGTCTACATATGTGCCTTTACCTTCAGTCCTGACCATCCCTCCTCGGGTGTTTGGATGTGTTGCATTTGTTCATATCCCGAAGAATCAGCGGACAAAACTTGATCCTTGTGCACTGCGATGTCTGTTCTTGGGGTATGGTACACACCAGAAGGGATATCGTTGCTATGACCCTTCTACCCGGTGAACCTATGTGACTATGGATGTCTCGTTTGTGGAAGCTGAATCCTTTTATCCGGGTTCCCATTCTTCCTTTCAGGGGGAGATACAGATAGAAAGGGCGAGTTGGTGGGAGTTTCCTGGTAGTATATTATCTGGAGGGGTGGAGAAAGTATCGTCTGAAAGGGCGAAAGAGCATGGTAGTATATTATCTAGAGGGGTGGAGAAAGCATTGTCTGAGGGGGCGGAAGAGGCATTGTCTGGGGGTGTGGAGAAGACATCGTCTGAGGCGGTGGTATCATCTGAGGGTGGCCAACTTCTACAGGAGCAAAATCACGA